AAAGAAAGTGGCTACTAACCACTGACGAAACAGCTGTCCATGGCGCTTGTCCGATACCCATCTCGTCAAGTATAGCAGAAAAACGAGATCTGCAGAAAAAACGAACACTTGAGATCTAGCAACGTACTTATTTTCATGAGAAAATAGCGGCAGGGTTTTCACTATTGTTTAAAATAGAAGGGTGCCCATGGTTGAGTACGCAGGAAAGCTGGTCTGAGAGTCAGCTTTTAATTTGGATTAATTTAGGTTTCTAGGAAAATGCCCACCTACCCCTCCCCTAAGCTAACATTAACACTGACTTCTCACTTAGGCCAAAATGATGGCTTAAGGGAGGGGTAGGTGGGGATTTTTCCAGAAATCTAAATTGATCCCAGCTTTTTTTGTATTGCTTGAAGGCAGGTCCTGTGCTCAGAATACTTTGATGTTGGTACCCGAGTCCCGGCTTCAAATGAAACCCCTACATCGGCAGGAGCAGGGTTTTGACTGTTGTTTAAAGTAGAAAGTCAGGCTACCTTTCTTCTGCAGCATCTATCATAAGAGGAGAGGTACCCAGAACATTAACATTGTTCAAGTATAATGGAAGAGCCAGGTTATTAGGAATCTGACCGCCGACAGAGATAACAGCACCTTTGCAGACCTGTAACATGACAAAAAACAATGAACTATTGACTCCTAACCTTAATCGTTTATAACTTCTTAGATTCCTTAGAGTCAAGATTTAAAAGTACTCGGAGGTATATTTTGCACAAATATTGAACAACAAAATATCACAGGAGAGTGCTAACTAACAGGTTTCCCTTCAATGCTTATTCTATCGTCCACGAAGTCCAAAGTCCACAGGCAAGTCCGTCACTTTAGAAACGCCAAGAAAACTGGGGCGAGTAAACTTTCACAAAGACTTTTGGGATTGTTACCGGGGACAAGGAAAAAATTGGCCAATAGCTGACCGGCGCGTCCCAAATACAGGGTTCATACAATAAAAAATGCAACCATTTCTCAAGGACTTTTCAAGGACCACCTACTTGGAATATAATTTCACAGACTGTACAAAAATGCACATCCCCAGTCTATTCTAATAAGACTTTAAGGCTTGAACTGTTTGCTTCACCAACTTCTCTACATTTTTCAGTTCACTTGTCTTAAATTGATAGTTAATTATTGCATAACACATTGAGCACTTTATGTAAACAACCTTTAAATTCTCTGAGCTATGATTTCTATTCTGTCTTAGACAACCAAAAAGCATCAAAAAACACTTTTCAGGCCACTACATTTAAAGTTGAAGAAAATTCAACGAACCCAACATATGTCCTGTGACACATCCGGTTTAACAACTTCCGGTTCGCAGATAGTGTTGACGTCACTAAATTGATATTGATCACGTGTTCATTATATTATTTTATGATTGGCTCTTTAACTAATAATACCGATCCCAGAAACAATTGCGGGACGCATTTCGGCTCCAGTTCCCTTCTCGTTCTAAAGTGGCGACTCACTGACTGCTAGCTTTTTCACGTACCTAATTACTAAGTGCGTTTCTTAAGGCGATTTGTACAAATAAACTTCGAAATAGCTCTTATTATTATTGCCATTTATTATTATTATTTTTTAAATTCTTCTCTACTGACATTGGGTGATTCTTCAGCATTGTTATTCTTACCTCTTGTTGATAAATGTCCAAGACTCTTTCAAGGGAAAGCTCTTCAAAGTAAAGTCGATCGCATTCATCATAATCAGTGCTTACAGTCTCGGGGTTATGGTTGACAACAACCTGTATGGTTTGAGAAAAGAAATAACTGACAATAATAATAATAAAGAGACACAAACACTCAGGCAAAAAAGTACAACAATAGAAAATGGTTTCACGATGGATTTGCAAGGCAACTGGTTAATCGTAATTAGTAAAATCCAACTAGTGGTCTATTATCAATGCCGCGTTCTGATTGGTTGAGCTACTACTAGGCTATATGTTACAGCCCACTGGTAAGGAAAAGCGCGGGCTTTTTGGCGACAAAAAAGGATTAAAGTCTAGCTTTAACTAGCCAATTTTTTTTTCTCGATATTTTNAGCATTGTTATTCTTACCTCTTGTTGATAAATGTCCAAGACTCTTTCAAGGGAAAGCTCTTCAAAGTAAAGTCGATCGCATTCATCATAATCAGTGCTTACAGTCTCGGGGTTATGGTTGACAACAACCTGTATGGTTTGAGAAAAGAAATAACTGACAATAATAATAATAAAGAGACACAAACACTCAGGCAAAAAAGTACAACAATAGAAAATGGTTTCACGATGGATTTGCAAGGCAACTGGTTAATCGTAATTAGTAAAATCCAACTAGTGGTCTATTATCAATGCCGCGTTCTGATTGGTTGAGCTACTACTAGGCTATATGTTACAGCCCACTGGTAAGGAAAAGCGCGGGCTTTTTGGCGACAAAAAAGGATTAAAGTCTAGCTTTAACTAGCCAATTTTTTTTTCTCGATATTTTTGACCAACTAGTTGGTTTTACTAAAACAATTATTCCTCTCGCCCTCATGGCCTCTGAGTCAGTAGCCCATTATTGACTCAGAGCCCATTCGGTTTCGAGGAATAATTGTTAAAGACAGTTCACTTATGAAACTCTATTCTGCTACTATCAAACAACAAGAAGAAACAGGATTACAAGGGCATTATCACCAAGATTTAACGGTACTTGAAAATCCAATAGTTTTGTTTGTATTGACTAGTGAGTCACCAATATTGGCCTATCCTTACTATATTAATGCCAGTCACCAGTATCGGCCTACCCTCACTATATTAATGCATAGTGTCTCTGATTTCGGGCCAACGTTTTAAAGCACAACACGGCTTTATTCGGAAAAATCGCTCATTTATTGTGGCTTGCTTGCAGCTTAAAAGTTGATTTCCACCGACGCGTTTTTGGCTACGCAAGTTAACGCACGTACATTTTAATCATGTAACTAAACTAGAGGCAAGACAAAAAGTGCTGAGCTTAAACGAGAAGTTGAGCGAGATTCAACTTTTACGCTTACGAGCGACCTTTCATGCGACACTGGAAATCAACCCTAAGACAATCAAATAGTTTTCGCCAAAACTCGGAAGCATTCTGGTGATACTGCCCCCTAAGCTCAAGAGACCTCTAGCTTTTTCAAAACCATCTTACCGTTTTAATGCCCAGGTTGCGCAAGGTCCTGATACAAGACACAGCGCACCAATCAAACTCCACACTGCTGCCAATGTGATATGGACCACAGCCCAAAACCATGACACCTTGATCGTCAAACAGGAGATCGTTTTCTTGTCCGTTATACGTCATGTATAGATAGTTGGTCTTGGCGGGGTACTCGGCTGCCATTGTATCAATCTTTTGATCAAATCAAACAGATATATCAACAAATACTTGGGTACTGTACATAACACATCATCACCATCATCATCATCATGATAAACGCGTGCTACCAACAATTTTTTCCAAAAAATCTAATTCCATGATGGAAGTTTTTCGAAGAACTCGAACGAACGAAGAACTCTTTCGAACCGAAATTTGTATAAGTAAACGTGTTAACTTCTGTAATGCCTCATCAAAGTAAGCAATCAACAGAGTCGGTAATTCTTTAGTTTGAGTTTTCGTGACGTCATGTAAAAACCGAGAATATGTTCCAATTTTCCATAACTTTAAACACCCCTCGCTTATTTTTATTCATAAAACACCATGGGAAAAATCATCCAATTATCCAAAAAATTCTAAAACCCTTATTGGTTAAATCACTCCGACCTTGTGTGAGCCATTTTTGATAGTGAATGAAGTGTTGGACGTAGATTTTGAAAAAAAAGATCGTAAATGAACGAAAACCGTAGACTACGAGAAGTCTCTCTTTTTTCTGTAGTCCGTCGAGGAAGACGCGAGACGCCCTCGTTTTGCGCGTCTCGCGGCTTCGCCGCTCCCGCGCGCGTGCATTGCTCTCACTAAATCTGAAGAAAAAGAGAGACTGCTCACAGTCTACGAAAACCGAGGCTTTTAACCAGACTTCCCCCTTAACAAACTCTTTCAACTTTTCAAGAAAATTCTTGTTCAAAAGCACACCTTAATACTGTATTTGCACACCGGAGTGCGCTGTTATCGCAAAAGTATACAATGAAGTTACAAACAAGGCCTTTACGCTAAAATTACAGCACGCCAGTGTATATGTTGTTGTTTTCTTTTGTTTCAAACAGTTTCAAACTTTCAAACTAGTGACCCAAAGAAAAAGCACTAAGATCAGAGAGGCAATATGTTCGTGGCGTTCACATGAGAGCACGCTAGTGAATACATTACTAAAGCACAGGCATACCAAACTCACATGAGAGAACTTGTTGAAAAATTACCGTATATAATGCGTCACGTACGGAGCTATTTTTAAAAAGAGTACATATGGGAAACGTTAAAAATGGAAAAAAAATCCCTTCAAAATGACATAGGATCACAAAATGAAGCGAACGTGAGTTTACCGTAAAATTCCGAAAATAAGCCTCGGGGCTTATATTTTTCAAAGGCCCTTTTTGAGGGGCTTATGTACGGAGGGAAATTTGCGTTTCAAAATCGATTGGGCTAGCTTGTAGTGGGAAGGAAATTTACCATTTTTGCTTTGTTTTACTTTGTATTCGAGAGCAAATTCCATGTACAAGCTCCCCGGGGGGCTTATATTCGGAGGAGGGCTTTTTGCGTTACGATTTTGAGGGGCTTATACGTGGAGGGGCTTATTTTCGGAATTTTACGGTATCTTATTTCTTATTATAGGCACATGATAAGCTAAGATAAGGCTACATTTTCTGCATTTTTCACGTTTCCTTAAGCTCTATAAATCTCATAAGTAGCTTCGTTACGCAATTACGTTTGCGCTCACATAGCGAGTTTGAGACGCGCCCCTGTGCTTGACCTGCAGAGACATAAGTCAAGTGACTCAGGGAAAAAGAAGCACGATCGATCAAAGAGGCAATATGAAGGTTATATGCGCAGGTATGAATAAGACTGGAACTAAATCGATCTCCGAAGCTTTACGACAGCTTGGTTTCACGGTCTTTGACTTTCCACAACAACTTCCTGATTTTTTGGATCATTGGGTTGATGTTTTCCAAAATGGCGCCCAGCCAGATGCGAGGCGAGTATATCGGAATGCTGATGCGGTGGTGGATATACCTGGAAACCTTTTCTGGGAGGAAATATTGGAAGTTTTCCCCGATTGTAAGTTGATTCTGAGCGAACGAGATGAAGATTCATGGGTGCAAAGTTGGGTAAACCAACTTCAAATGATCCACGCCGTTCGCGCAACAACAACTGCAGTTATAAAGTTAAAGCTATCTCAAACTGTCAGAAAGATGACTGAAGTTGTGGACTCTTGTCTTACCGCCTTACTTGGTTCGATGAACCCTAAGTCCACTTGTGTTTTCAGAAAGCAATTTCGTATTCACAATCACCTTTTGAAGTCCATTGTACCACCTGAGAAACTACTGGTGTTCAATGTAAAACAAGGATGGAAACCGCTGTGTGATTTCTTGGGCTGTGAGGTTCCAACATCCGCTTTCCCCCATGAAAATATCAAAGGAGAAATTACCGTAAAGCCCAAGCAAATGGAAACATTTGAGCGGCAAGTGGATTGGGAAGTTCGAAAAGCATGTTGGGGGATCCTTTCCATTATCGCGGTTACTGTAGCTTTACTTGTTGCAATTGGTTATTTGTGATTGAACAGATATAAAGCTAGAAAACGTATTACTCTTTTGGTAATGCAGTATAAGGCCAATTATGTCGTAATTCTACCCTAATTGTTTCCTCAAATACTGCTTTACTTAAAAACATGTGGAATAAAATGTTCTTAAAATGATTTATATGTTCTGTAATATCATGTCCTTAAGTTTTTCTTCCCATTTTCTGCTTCGACGTTTTTATTAAAAAACTTTTAAAATAAATACTTTTTTCCGAGTTCTGGAATTATTCTCTAAACAGCATGTAACAACTGATAATCATCCGCAGTTTCTGGGTTCTATCGGTGTCATGTTTATGTTCTGCAAAGTTAATTTTCACGTAGAACGATCAGCTTCCCAGATTTATGTTCACTGGGTATATATTTTAGTGATCAGATCTCCTGTAGATTCTTCGTCCTGGGGCATATTCTGATATTCGTTTGCGGTCCTTTGCAGTTGACGTTCTTTTGTTATACAACAGAAAAGGTACCCTCCTCAAATTCCATTGTCGGCGGGCTCTCTCAAGAGAAGAGAGAACAAAAAGGAGTTGAGAAAAACGATTTCTTTTTTTCCACAAATCCATGCGTTCTTTTACCGTTAAAGAGACCCTTTTTATAAAAGACGAAGCTTTGCTTACAATTTTTTCCTCATCAGCCCATGATAGAATGATACCTTTTCCGTGAAAATCGCGTAAAAGCTACGCAAAATGAAAACAACACGTCAACATATGGACCACAGCCCAAAACCATGACACCTTGATCGTCAAACAGGAGATCGTTTTCTTGTCCGTTATACGTCATGTATAGATAGTTGGTCTTGGCGGGGTACTCGGCTGCCATTGTATCAATCTTTTGATCAAATCAAACAGATATATCAACAAATACTTGGGTACTGTACATAACACATCATCACCATCATCATCATCATGATAAACGCGTGCTACCAACAATTTTTTCCAAAAAATCTAATTCCATGATGGAAGTTTTTCGAAGAACTCGAACGAACGAAGAACTCTTTCGAACCGAAATTTGTATAAGTAAACGTGTTAACTTCTGTAATGCCTCATCAAAGTAAGCAATCAACAGAGTCGGTAATTCTTTAGTTTGAGTTTTCGTGACGTCATGTAAAAACCGAGAATATGTTCCAATTTTCCATAACTTTAAACACCCCTCGCTTATTTTTATTCATAAAACACCATGGGAAAAATCATCCAATTATCCAAAAAATTCTAAAACCCTTATTGGTTAAATCACTCCGACCTTGTGTGAGCCATTTTTGATAGTGAATGAAGTGTTGGACGTAGATTTTGAAAAAAAAGATCGTAAATGAACGAAAACCGTAGACTACGAGAAGTCTCTCTTTTTTCTGTAGTCCGTCGAGGAAGACGCGAGACGCCCTCGTTTTGCGCGTCTCGCGGCTTCGCCGCTCCCGCGCGCGTGCATTGCTCTCACTAAATCTGAAGAAAAAGAGAGACTGCTCACAGTCTACGAAAACCGAGGCTTTTAACCAGACTTCCCCCTTAACAAACTCTTTCAACTTTTCAAGAAAATTCTTGTTCAAAAGCACACCTTAATACTGTATTTGCACACCGGAGTGCGCTGTTATCGCAAAAGTATACAATGAAGTTACAAACAAGGCCTTTACGCTAAAATTACAGCACGCCAGTGTATATGTTGTTGTTTTCTTTTGTTTCAAACAGTTTCAAACTTTCAAACTAGTGACCCAAAGAAAAAGCACTAAGATCAGAGAGGCAATATGTTCGTGGCGTTCACATGAGAGCACGCTAGTGAATACATTACTAAAGCACAGGCATACCAAACTCACATGAGAGAACTTGTTGAAAAATTACCGTATATAATGCGTCACGTACGGAGCTATTTTTAAAAAGAGTACATATGGGAAACGTTAAAAATGGAAAAAAAATCCCTTCAAAATGACATAGGATCACAAAATGAAGCGAACGTGAGTTTACCGTAAAATTCCGAAAATAAGCCTCGGGGCTTATATTTTTCAAAGGCCCTTTTTGAGGGGCTTATGTACGGAGGGAAATTTGCGTTTCAAAATCGATTGGGCTAGCTTGTAGTGGGAAGGAAATTTACCATTTTTGCTTTGTTTTACTTTGTATTCGAGAGCAAATTCCATGTACAAGCTCCCCGGGGGGCTTATATTCGGAGGAGGGCTTTTTGCGTTACGATTTTGAGGGGCTTATACGTGGAGGGGCTTATTTTCGGAATTTTACGGTATCTTATTTCTTATTATAGGCACATGATAAGCTAAGATAAGGCTACATTTTCTGCATTTTTCACGTTTCCTTAAGCTCTATAAATCTCATAAGTAGCTTCGTTACGCAATTACGTTTGCGCTCACATAGCGAGTTTGAGACGCGCCCCTGTGCTTGACCTGCAGAGACATAAGTCAAGTGACTCAGGGAAAAAGAAGCACGATCGATCAAAGAGGCAATATGAAGGTTATATGCGCAGGTATGAATAAGACTGGAACTAAATCGATCTCCGAAGCTTTACGACAGCTTGGTTTCACGGTCTTTGACTTTCCACAACAACTTCCTGATTTTTTGGATCATTGGGTTGATGTTTTCCAAAATGGCGCCCAGCCAGATGCGAGGCGAGTATATCGGAATGCTGATGCGGTGGTGGATATACCTGGAAACCTTTTCTGGGAGGAAATATTGGAAGTTTTCCCCGATTGTAAGTTGATTCTGAGCGAACGAGATGAAGATTCATGGGTGCAAAGTTGGGTAAACCAACTTCAAATGATCCACGCCGTTCGCGCAACAACAACTGCAGTTATAAAGTTAAAGCTATCTCAAACTGTCAGAAAGATGACTGAAGTTGTGGACTCTTGTCTTACCGCCTTACTTGGTTCGATGAACCCTAAGTCCACTTGTGTTTTCAGAAAGCAATTTCGTATTCACAATCACCTTTTGAAGTCCATTGTACCACCTGAGAAACTACTGGTGTTCAATGTAAAACAAGGATGGAAACCGCTGTGTGATTTCTTGGGCTGTGAGGTTCCAACATCCGCTTTCCCCCATGAAAATATCAAAGGAGAAATTACCGTAAAGCCCAAGCAAATGGAAACATTTGAGCGGCAAGTGGATTGGGAAGTTCGAAAAGCATGTTGGGGGATCCTTTCCATTATCGCGGTTACTGTAGCTTTACTTGTTGCAATTGGTTATTTGTGATTGAACAGATATAAAGCTAGAAAACGTATTACTCTTTTGGTAATGCAGTATAAGGCCAATTATGTCGTAATTCTACCCTAATTGTTTCCTCAAATACTGCTTTACTTAAAAACATGTGGAATAAAATGTTCTTAAAATGATTTATATGTTCTGTAATATCATGTCCTTAAGTTTTTCTTCCCATTTTCTGCTTCGACGTTTTTATTAAAAAACTTTTAAAATAAATACTTTTTTCCGAGTTCTGGAATTATTCTCTAAACAGCATGTAACAACTGATAATCATCCGCAGTTTCTGGGTTCTATCGGTGTCATGTTTATGTTCTGCAAAGTTAATTTTCACGTAGAACGATCAGCTTCCCAGATTTATGTTCACTGGGTATATATTTTAGTGATCAGATCTCCTGTAGATTCTTCGTCCTGGGGCATATTCTGATATTCGTTTGCGGTCCTTTGCAGTTGACGTTCTTTTGTTATACAACAGAAAAGGTACCCTCCTCAAATTCCATTGTCGGCGGGCTCTCTCAAGAGAAGAGAGAACAAAAAGGAGTTGAGAAAAACGATTTCTTTTTTTCCACAAATCCATGCGTTCTTTTACCGTTAAAGAGACCCTTTTTATAAAAGACGAAGCTTTGCTTACAATTTTTTCCTCATCAGCCCATGATAGAATGATACCTTTTCCGTGAAAATCGCGTAAAAGCTACGCAAAATGAAAACAACACGTCAACTATTTGCCCTTAGGCGGCCAGTGCAGCTACCGTAATCAATTAACGTCACGCGACTGTATAAATCTTCACCTTTAATCCTGCCAATGTCATTGTAGAGACACAAGTGACCCACAAAAAAAGAGCTAATATGAAGGTTATATGCGCGGGTATGAATAAGACCGGAACTAAATCAATCTCCGAAGCTTTACGACAACTTGGATTCACGGTCTTTGATGCAGTTCCACAACAATTACTTGATTTCTTGGATCACTGGGTTGATGTTTTTCAAAATGGCACCCAGCCAGATGTGAAACGAGTCTACCAGAATGCTGATGCGGTGGTGGATATACCTGGAAACCTTTTCTGGGAGGAAATATTGGAAACTTTTCCTGACTGTAAAGTAATTTTGAGCGAACGAGATGAAGATTCTTGGACACAAAGTTGGGTAAACCAACTTGAAATGATCCAGGCTGCTCGCGTGGGAATAAGAGCATTTATAGCTTACAAGCTATCGCAAACTGCTAGAAAGTTGAGGTACGTTGGCGACTCTTGCTTTACTGCTTTACTTGGTTCTACGAACCCCAAGTCCACTTGTGTTTTCAGAAAGCGATATCGTATGCACAATCACCGTGTAAAGTCCATTGTACCACCCGAAAGGCTACTTGTGTTCAATGTAAAACAGGGATGGAAACCGCTGTGTGATTTCTTGGGCTGCGAGGTTCCAACATCTGCCTTTCCACACGAAAATATCAAAGGAGAAATCCTCACAAAACCAGTAAATATGGAACGATTACGTCAGCAGGTGAGTTCGGAAGTTCGGAAAGGATGTTTGGGGATCCTCTCTGTAATCGTGGTTATTGTAGCTTCAATTGTTGCAGTATGTTATTTTTCATTTTTTGAATTGGATCAGAATCTTGGAAAACACGGCTGACCAAGGTAGTCAAGGTACAGAAAACTTTATACCACTTTTGGTGGTACAGTATGAGACCAAGCATTTTGTACATTTTGCTTCCCTTATCCACCGTGTTCTGGGTTTTCGGAAATCTAATTATTGGATCGCTAACTCATTCATTCCACCATTCAACAAATCACGATATCTGACCTTCTTAACCACATGAAACCAAACGCTACCCTGGCTCCAGAGGTCCGTTGTCAAAATACCTAACATGAAATAAACCGTGCTCAAAGTTTGATATCGGTAAGAAAAAAATATCCTGTGGAACACAGGGTAACCAAAGGCATGCACCAATGGGTTTAATTGTTTTAACCACACCCAATATCTTAACCTGCCTAGCAGGTTTCCGGAGAAACAAACAACAAGGAGCGCAAACTCCGCAAAAGGTCACGCTTACCAAGTTCTTTCTTACGCCTGCTACACAGTACAGCCTACCAATATCACAAAGGTTAGCACTCATCTCAACCTATCACAATGTAAGGTCTAGAAAACTTACACAGATACGACCGACTCAAGTCAACGATTTGCCCTTAGGCGGCCAGTGCAGCCACCGTAATCAATTAACGTCACGCGACTGTATAAAACTTCACCTTTAATCCTACCAATGTCATTGTAGAGACACAAGTGGCCCACACAAAGAGAGCTAAGATCAAAGAGGCAATATGAAGGTTATATGCGCGGGTATGAACAAGACTGGAACAAAATCAATCTCCGAAGCTTTACGACAGCTTGGATTCACGGTCTATGACTGGGAAGAACAACTGTTCGATTTTCTGGATTACTGGGTTGGCGTCTTCCAAAATGGCGCCACGCCAGATGTGAAGCAAATCTACCAGGATGCAGATGCAATCGTGGATATGCCTGGAAACCTTTTCTGGGAGGAAATATTGGAAGCTTTTCCTGATTGTAAGGTGATTTTGAGCGAACGAGATGAAGATTCTTGGATACGAAGCTGGGTCACTCAACTAGAAACAATAAACGATGTTCGATCACGCACCGCAAATATGTTATCGCAAACCTGCACAACGGTAACCAACGTTGCGCACTGTAGTCTAATTGCTTTGTTTGGATCCATGAACCCCAAGTCCACTTGTGTTTTCAGGAAGAGATATCGTATGCATAATCACCGTGTAAAGTCCATTGTACCACCCGAGAAACTACTGGTGTTCAATGTAAAGCAAGGATGGAAACCGCTGTGTGATTTCTTGGGCTGTGAGATTCCGACATCCGCTTTCCCCCATGAAAATGTTAAAGGAAGACTCCTCAAAGAAATCTTTCAAAAGACAAGATATGGGCAGCAGGTGCAACGGGAAATTCAGAAAACTGTCTTTGTGATCGTTTCCGTTATCGTTGTTATTGTAGCTTCATTGTTTATACTTTGTTTATACTGTTAATTGAACAACAATCTTGTCATTTCGACAAACCTTGATTCTTTTGGTTATATAGTACCAATCATAAGGACTATAACGTTATTGCAATCATGCACAACTCTTGGCACAAACTATTTTTTCCTCGAATTGCAATCTTAATAAAAGCGAAGATGACGAACACTGAATGTGCTGCGATAGAGATTAACTATGTACATCATCATCATCATCATCATCATCATAATAACAATAATAATAATTTAATGATAATTATTATTTTTTTATTTCAAGCGTTTATTGATCTAAAAATAACTCAGTGAAACTCAAAAACCATCTGGACTTGACTCGAGGATGGCCTGTGCTTGGTTTGTAGCTGATTCGCTCGGGCCCGCTTTTGATTCGTGAAATGCCCGGGGGTAACTCCCATGTAAAAGCGACGGGGACGCTTGTCGGAAAATCCCATTGATACTTTTGTTGAAATATGAATCTTCTTGAAAAACGATTTCTGTCTGGTCAGTGTCACGGTAATTTTTTGTAAATTTCTTTATGCACAACCTAAGCGATACCTGAATGGGTAAATATAGTGACTTTCCGTCCCAAACACCCCAAGTGAAACCAAATTCTGCAATTTACACCCCTAAGCATCCCCGTTACTTTTATATGGGAGTAACCCCCTCCCCCACCCCCGTGGTGAAACGACCAAACTCGGGTACAATAAATCAATAAATTGGGATTAACCATTACCCTTCCTTGCTCGACCAAAGGCCTGTTCACAGGCTACTGCGAGCTCAGTTGCTCGATTAACACCTTGCTGGCGAGAAACAATCGCAACAAGTGAAATATGAAGGTTATTTGTGTAGGGCTGCAAAAAACCGGCACCAAATCAATTTGCACAGCTTTAAGGTATCTTGGATTCACAGTGTTTGACTGGGAAGAACAAATATTCGACTTTCTAGATCACTGGGTCGATGTCTTCCAAAATGGCGCTCAGCCAGATGTGAAGAGAGTCTACCATAACGCTGATGCCGCCTTGGATATACCCGCAAATTTCTTCTGGGAGAAAATATTAGAAGCTTTTCCCGACTGTAAAGTGCTTTTGAGCGAAAGAGAAGAGGATTCCTGGGTAAAAAGTTTTGTAATCCCTAACCTTTCATATACCTGAAGCCTAAATTTCGGTCCGGGCCTCCCCGTATGACCGACCATTATAAGGAGTTCCCCTAGGTTTTCCCCACACAAAGAAGCGAAGTTTTGCTACAATTTATCATCATCGCCGCATGCTTCTAGTTTTTAAAAATCACTTCTGAATGATGTTGAAAGATCATAGCACATTAAGCAGAGAATCAGGCCTTGCTTATCCTTACCACATTTACCTCTCTGACAATTTCAGTCTGGTATACCAAATATCCTTTGAAATTATGCCGTGAAGCAAATGGAAACATTTGAGCGGCAAGTAGCCTGAGTATCAGGCCTTCCTAAGGGGCTAGGGGAGAGGAGATTTTAGATGGGGAGGGGGGAGGGAGAGAAGAGAAAGCAAGTTTCTCTCCTTTCCCCAGAAACGCCTGATACTCAGGCTAAGCGGCAAGTGGATTGGGAAATTCTAAAAGCGTTTTCTGCGATCCTTTCTATTATCGCGGTTATTGTAGCTTCACTTGTTGCAGTTTGTTATTTGTGATTGGACAGACATAAGTCTAGAAATCTTATTCCTCTTTTTCGATACTCTATTGGTTACCGTATAAGGCTAAACACGTTGTTATTCTACCCCAACTTTTTTCATTTTTTCCTTTACTTATTTATGTTCTGCAATATCCTTACGTTTTTCTTCCCACTTTCTGCTTCGACGTTGTTATTAAACTAGTACTACTACTATGGCCGAGAAAGACGCACGCCTAAAAAAAAACTTTAAAAAGAAATACTCTTTCCGGGCTCTGGAACTATTATAAACAGCAGTGATCAAGTAACAACTGATTAATTTTCCGTAATTTCTGTTCTCTGTCGGTGTCATGTTTATGTCTTGCAAAGTTCATTTTTACGTCGAACGATCAGCTTCCCAGATTAATGATCACTGGGTATATGTTTTGCTGATTAGATCTCCTGTAGATCTTATGTCCTGCGGCATATTCGTTCGCGGTCCTTTGCAGTTAATGTTCTTCTGTTACACAAGAGAAAAAGTACCTTCCTCAAATTCCATTGTCGGCTGGCTCACTCTAGCCTGTGTACAGACCCCCCTCCCATCAGTAAAAATCGGAGAAGGCGCGTCTATGACTGCACCGTCGATAATCGAGGGTGGAAAAATTTTGCACAAATTAAAAAAAATTGACTGATGAAAGGCGGGGTTTGTACACAGGCTGGCTCACTCGGCGGACACTCTCCCGATAAAAAAATCGAAATAATGGAAAAACGCGCGGGGGACGATGGGAAGAGGGAAATCGTGCGTTATTTTACCGTTGAAGGGACCCTTTTCATTAAAGGCGAAGCTTTGCTTACAATTTTTTCTCATCAGCGCATGATAGAATGATAGCTTTTCCATGAAAATCGTGTAAAAGTTCCGCAAAATGAATAGACTACGACCAGTCTCTCTTTTTTTCTATAGTCCGTCGAGCAAAACGCGAGAGACTGCTCGCACGTCAGCGATTTGCCCAGTGCAGCCATCGTAACGAACGTCACGCAGTCTATAAAATTTCACCTTTAATCTTACCAATGTTATTGTAGCCTGCGAATATTGTAGACCCAAAGAAACAGAGCTAAGATCAAAGAGGCAATATGAAGGTTATATGCGCTGGTATGAATAAGACTGTAACTAAATCAATCTCCGAAGCTTTACGACAGCTTGGATTCACGGTCTATGACTGGGAAGAACAACTGTTCGATTTTCTGGATTACTGGGTTGATGTGTTCCAAAATGGCGCTAAGCCAGATGTAAAGGCACTCTACCAGAATGCAGATGCGGTGGTGGATATACCCGGTAGCCTTTTCTGGGAGGAAATATTGGAAACATTTCCTGACTGTAAAGTGATTTTGAGCGAACGAGATGAAGATTCTTGGATACAAAGTTGGGTAAACCACCTTGAAATGATCCACGCTACTCGCGTGGAAATCAGGAAATCATTTATAGCGTACAAACTATCGCAAAGTGTTAGAAAGTTGGGGTACATTGTCGACTCTTGCATTAATGGTTTACTTGGTTCTACGAACCCCAAATCCACCTGTGTTTTCAGAAAGCGATATCGTATGCACAATCACCGTGTAAAGTCCATTGTACCACCCGCGAGGCTACTAATGTAAAACAAGGATGGAAACCGCTGTGTGATTTCTTGGGCTGCGAGGTTCCAACGTCTGCCTTTCCATTTGAAAATATCAAAGGAGAAATCCTCACAAAACCCGTGAAAATGAAACGATTTCGTCGGCAAGTGATTTCGGAAGTTCGGAAAGGATTTTTTTGGATTCTCTCTATAATCGTAGTTATTGTAGCTTCAAGTGTTTCAATAAGTTATTTTTCATCTTTTTAATTGGATCAGAAACTTGAATAACACGGCTGACCAAGGTACAGCCTATACCACTTTTGGTGGTACAGTATGAGGCCATGCATTTTGTACACTTTTGCTGCCCTTATCCACTGTATTCTGGGTTTTCAGAAATCTAATTATTGGATTGCTAACTCACTGGCATGGATCATTAATTCCACCATTCAACAAATCTCGATATCTGACCTTCCTAACCACATGTAAACAAAGGCATGCACCAATGGGTTTAATTGTTTAAACCGTAACCAATATCATAGCCTGCGTAGCAGGAATAAACAACAAGGAGCGCAACGGGTCACGCTTACCAAGTTCTTTCTCATGCCTGCTACACAGTACAGCCTATCAATATCACAGTATAAGGCCTAGAAAACTTACGACCCACTCAAGGGGCAATATGAAGGTTATATGCGCGGGTATGAACAAAGAGAATTTGTTTAATAATGAAGGTTTTTTATCTTTTTGACCATTTCTTATAATTCTCATGATGATTAATTGATTGAGCAGTGATATTGTACGGAGAGATTAGTTGCTGGTCTCCTGTTTAAGACAAAAATTGCTCATTTTGTTACCCTGTTTATTAAAAAGACAATAGTCCTTATTTTATGAAACTAACATCACGGAATTAGATTTTGGAAAAAAATTGTTGGTATTCACTCTTCCAATCCAAAAAGACACCCCATTCAAGACGCATAATAGTAAAATTGTATACGCTGCTTAACCCTTTAGGTCCCAAGAGTGACCAACATCAATTTTCTCCTAACAACATCAGCAGATCATCAAGAGTAAAGGTTGTGAGAATGACTAAATTGATTACCAAAGGGAGAACACTTTGACCTTAAACCAAATTCTCTCAACTATTCTTAAAGGAAATGTATGGAGATCAGTCTGGAGAGTTTGTATGTGGATCTTGGGGCTCAAGACCCTGAAAACCAAACCCTGTTCAGCAGCCATACTTTTTTAGGCCAAATAAGGGATTTTGCCCAGCCGGGACTTGTTAACGATACATACCTGTTTAACCCAAGGTTTCACACCATGTTTGAGTCGTTCATTCCTCATATCGCTTTCCTGAACTTCTATCAGCTTGGCAAGCTGCCTGTCAGAAAAACCAGCTTGTTTGGCTTCTAGTAAGTCTTCCTGGGAAAAGGAGTCCCTGAAAACCAAAAAATTGAGAAAAAAGTAAGCACTATAGACTGCTTGATAGCAATTTGAGTGGTTAAATTGGAAACAAATTCATAACAGTGATTATGGCAGCCTGCAAATACAACTACTTTTTCTCTTATCCTGAGCAGGAAGTAATGAACCTATTAGAAATATGTATCCTTGCCACACCCTGCCGCCACTGCTGCCACCACCACCATCACTATTGTTGTCATCATCGTCATCATCATCTATTACCATCAATGTCACATCATTGCCATCATAATCATTAGCATCACCATCATCATCATTGCATATCTTTATCACCATCATCATCATCATGATCATCAAGATCATCATCATCACTGCCATCATTCATTACCATCAACATCAACATCATTATCACCATCATCATTAACATTACCATAATCTTTCGGGCATTTAATATCTTTATCATCATCATCACCTTCATGATGGTGTCGGTGTAAAACCACTATCAACCAATATCAGTCTTAAAGAAACTTTCATCATCACGGTCAATGATTTGTCAGTGCCACCACCCAAACAACCATAGCCACCTTGGTGGATCACCATTTTCATTATCAGCATCAACATCCTTGTCACCAACAGCAACATCATCACCTATTATCATTATCCTATAACTGCCTAAATGGCACTTGGGCTTTTCTCCACACAACATCAGTAGATCATCAAGAGTATTAAGGTTATGAGAATTGCTTAATCAGTTAACAAAAGGAGAACGCTTTGATCTTAAACCAAATTCTCTCTACTATTCTTAAAAGAAATGTATGGAGATCAGTTTGGAGAATTTGTACGAGGATCTTGGGGTTTACAGGGATAAATAAATCATGTAATTATACTTCAAAACTTACAGCTTCAGATTTTTCAGGTCACTCTCAATGTCCACTATTCGTTGCAGTTTATGTAAGAACCACCGATCTATGCTGGTCAGCTCATGTATTTGATCTACTGTGTAGCCTGCGTGCAGTGCCTGAAAACACAAGCATTTGATGCGGCAGGATTGCATGTAAAATAATGCTATAGAGCATGATTGAAGATGAGTGCAGCAAGTTGGGCAAGAGCCAGTTTTAAACAACTGTTAACCTTTCTCTGAGCAATCAATATACCGTAAAATTCCAAAAATAAGCCCCTCCATGTATAAGCCCCTCCAAATATAAGCCCCCCAAACCAGTAACACAAAAAACCCTTCGTTAAAATGCCCGTCCAAATATAAGCTCCCCCAGGGGCTTGTACTTGGAAACTTGCCGTACAATACAAAGTAAAACAAAGCAAAAACGGTAAATTTACTTCCAACTATAAGGCTAACAATAATGATTTTGAAACACAAATTTCCCTCTGTAGATAAGCCCCTCCGAATATAACCACCTCCAAATATAAGCCCCTCAAAAGGGGCCTTTAAAAAATTTTCGGAATTTTACGGTAGTAAACAACCACCTCCCTTTTGTGACTTTCTTCATATTCCAGTCAACTGCTGTAACTTTTTTACACTTTGCTGTAGATATACCTTGCTAAATTAACATCTTGATCCATCTTGATTGTCTATTATTAATGTCAAGGAAAACTACTCACCTTTGCAATGGAGTAGACTCTGGTGTTTGATGGAACAACCAGCTCATCCTCCAATTTACAGTCTGACAGCTCCTGATGCATGCTGGGAAGCTGTAATAGAAAAGACCAAGAAGAAACAAATAAATCAAGCCTTCAAATGTAACATGGACAACATATTCCACTTTAAACATACCTTTATCAACATACCATTTTGGTCAAGCTCTTGCAGGAAAGAAAGGAGTTATATTTTTTACTACACTACCCTTGCTCCTTGGGGGGGGTGAGTAGTGGTTAGAGCACTCGCCTCCCACCAATGTGGCCTGGGTTCAAATCGCAGCATCAACGCCATGATTAAGTGGGTTGAGTTTGTTGTTGGTTCTCTCCCTTGCTCCAAGAGGTCTTTCTCCAGGTACTCTGGTTTTACCTACCCTCAAAACC